GACTCAGGGTTCATGCTCTCAGTGACTCAGGGGTTCATGCTCTCAGTGACTCAGGTTCATGCTCTCAGTGACTCGGGGTTCATGCTCTCAGTGACTCGGGGTTCATGCTCTCAGTGACTCGGGGTTCGTGCTCTCAGTGACTCAGGGTTCATGTGTGTGTGTCTGTGTGTGTGTGTGTGTGCTCTCAGTGACTCGGGGTTCATGCTCTCAGTGACTCGGGGTTCATGCTCTCAGTGACTCAGGGTTCATACTCTCAGTGACTCGGGGTTCATGCTCTCAGTGACTCAGGGTTCATGCTCTCAGTGACTCAGGGTTCATGCTCTCAGTGACTCGGGGTTCATGCTCTCAGTGACTCAGGGTTCATGCTCTCAGTGACTCGGGGTTCGTGCTCTCAGTGACTCGGGGTTCATGCTCTCAGTGACTCGGGGTTCATGCTCTCAGTGACTCGGGGTCATGCTCTCAGTGACTCAGGGTTCATGCTCTCAGTGACTCGGGGTTCATGCTCTCAGTGACTCGGGGTTCATGCTCTCAGTGACTCAGGGTTCATGCTCTCAGTGACTCGGGGTTCATGCTCTCAGTGACTCGGGGTTCATGCTCTCAGTGACTCGGGGTTCATGCTCTCAGTGACTCGGGGTTCGTGCTCTCAGTGACTCGGGGTTCATGTTCTCAGTGACTCGGGGTTCATGCTCTCAGTGACTCAGGGTTCATGTGTGTGTGTCTGTGTGTGTGTGTGTGTGCTCTCAGTGACTCGGGGTTCATGCTCTCAGTGACTCAGGGTTCATACTCTCAGTGACTCGGGGTTCATGCTCTCAGTGACTCAGGGTTCATGCTCTCAGTGACTCGGGTTCATGCTCTCAGTGACTCGGGGTTCATGCTCTCAGTGACTCGGGGTTCATGCTCTCAGTGACTCAGGGTTCATGCTCTCAGTGACTCAGGGTTCATGCTCTCAGTGACTCAGGGTTCGTGCTCTCAGTGACTCAGGGTTCATGCTCTCAGTGACTCGGGGTTCATGCTCTCAGTGACTCAGGGTTCATGTGTGTGTGTCTGTGTGTGTGTGTGTGTGCTCTCAGTGACTCAGGGTTCATGCTCTCAGTGACTCAGGGTTCATGCTCTCAGTGACTCAGGGTTCATGCTCTCAGTGACTCAGGGTTCATGCTCTCAGTGACTCAGGGTTCATACTCTCAGTGACTCAGGGTTCATGCTCTCAGTGACTCAGGGTTCATGCTCTCAGTGACTCAGGGTTCATACACTCAGTGACTCGGGGTTCATGCTCTCAGTGACTCGGGGTTCATGCTCTCAGTGACTCGGGGTTCATGCTCTCAGTGACTCAGGGTTCATGCTCTCAGTGACTCAGGGTTCATGCTCTCAGTGACTCGGGGTTCATGCTCTCAGTGACTCTGGGTTCATGCTCTCAGTGACTCGGGGTTCGTGCTCTCAGTGACTCGGGGTTCGTGCTCTCAGTGACTCGGGGTTCGTGCTCTCAGTGACTCGGGGTTCATGCTCTCAGTGACTCAGGGGTTCATGCTCTCAGTGACTCGGGGTTCATGCTCTCAGTGACTCAGGGTTCATACTCTCAGTGACTCAGGGTTCATGCTCTCAGTGACTCAGGGTTCATGCTCTCAGTGACTCGGGGTTCATGCTCTCAGTGACTCGGGGTTCATGCTCTCAGTGACTCAGGGTTCATGCTCTCAGTGACTCGGGGTTCATGCTCTCAGTGACTCAGGGTTCATACTCTCAGTGACTCAGGGTTCATGCTCTCAGTGACTCGGGGTTCATGCTCTCAGTGACTCGGGGTTCATGCTCTCAGTGACTCAGGGTTCATACTCTCAGTGACTCAGGGTTCATGCTCTCAGTGACTCAGGGGTTCATGCTCTCAGTGACTCAGGGTTCATACTCTCAGTGACTCAGGGTTCATACTCTCAGTGACTCAGGTTCATACTCTCAGTGACTCAGGGTTCATGCTCTCAGTGACTCAGGGTTCATGCTCTCAGTGACTCAGGGTTCAATGCTCTCAGTGACTCAGGGTTCATGCTCTCAAGTGACGCAGGGTTCATGCTCTCAGTGACTCGGGGTTCATGCTCTCAGTGACTCGGGGTTCATGCTCTCAGTGACTCGGGGTTCGTGCTCTCAGTGACTCGGGGTTCGTGCTCTCAGTGACTCGGGGTTCATGCTCTCAGTGACTCGGGGGTTCGTGCTCTCAGTGACTCGGGGTTCGTGCTCTCAGTGACTCGGGGTTCATGCTCTCAGTGACTCAGGGTTCATGTGTGTGTGTCTGTGTGTGTGTGTGTGCTCTCAGTGACTCGGGGTTCATGCTCTCAGTGACTCGGGGTTCATGCTCTCAGTGACTCAGGGTTCATACTCTCAGTGACTCGGGGTTCATGCTCTCAGTGACTCAGGGTTCATGCTCTCAGTGACTCGGGGTTCATGCTCTCATTGACTCGGGGTTCATGCTCTCAGTGACTCGGGGTTCATGCTCTCAGTGACTCGGGGTTCATGCTCTCAGTGACTCAGGGGTTCATGCTCTCAGTGACTCGGGGTTCATGCTCTCAGTGACTCGGGGTTCATGCTCTCAGTGACTCGGGTTCATACTCTCAGTGACTCGGGGTTCATGCTCTCAGTGACTCGGGGTTCATGCTCTCAGTGACTCGGGGTTCATGCTCTCAGTGACTCAGGGTTCATACTCTCAGTGACTCAGGGTTCATGCTCTCAGTGACTCAGGGTTCATACTCTCAGTGACTCAGGGTTCATGCTCTCAGTGACTCAGGGTTCATGCTCTCAGTGACTCAGGGTTCATACTCTCAGTGACTCAGGGTTCATGCTCTCAGTGACTCAGGGTTCATACTCTCAGTGACTCAGGGTTCATACTCTCAGTGACTCAGGGTTCGTGCTCTCAGTGACTCAGGGTTCATGCTCTCAGTGACTCAGGGTTCATACTCTCAGTGACTCAGGGTTCATACTCTCAGTGACTCAGGGTTCATGCTCTCAGTGACTCAGGGTTCATACTCTCAGTGACTCAGGGTTCATACTCTCAGTGACTCAGGGTTCATGCTCTCAGTGACTCAGGGTTCATGCTCTCAGTGACTCAGGGTTCATACTCTCAGTGACTCATGGTTCATGCTCTCAGTGACTCAGGGTTCATGCTCTCAGTGACTCAGGGTTCATGCTCTCAGTGACTCGGGGTTCATA